CGAACTTTGGCGGGCAGTCCTCCACAGCCTGTTCGAACAGATCACGCAATCGCTCCATGCCAATCTTACGGTCCACGGCCTTGGTGAGGTACAAGTTCCAGATCTCGAAAGCGACGGGGTAGCTGAAGAGGTCGAGGCCGCGCTCGTAGACCTTGAAGCAGTCTTCGTAGTACTTATTCTCTTCCAGCAGGTTCGCGTAGTTGACGATGGTTTGCGGTGTTGCGATGCGAAGCTCGAATATTCTTTCATACACCTTCTTTGTCTCCTCCAGGGTGCTGACACTCTCGACAAGATCGACGTAGAAGCTCCACAACTTCCAGCTCTTGTGTACACGCTGTTGTGGTGATAGCGACTCATCGAAGTAGTCGACATTCGACCGCTTAGGGGCTTGCGTAGCCTTGGCCATGATGTCCACGGCCTTGTCGAAGTTTTCGTTGCGAAGCTCCATCTCGGCCCATTCGCACCACATCTCAGCCAGCTCGGAGACTGACTTGAAGGGTACCTTGACAGCCTTCTCCATGATGACACGGGCATTCTTGAGGTCGCCGCCTGATTCGTACAGTTTGGCATAGTTGGCCCAGAGCTCGTGAAACTTGCCGAGTGCCTTCTTGGGGTTGATTGCCGCAATGGCGTCGGTGTAGGTCTGGACCACCTCTTTCTTGTTGTCACCCCAAAGAGCGACGCGCTTCTCCCATTCGATGACATTGTGCGGGTTCTGTCGAAGCATGACATCATTCAGCAGGAAGGGCCGTCTTTGCATGAGGGATTCGAAGCGGACCATCCGGATGTCAAGGTCCGCGTCAGCAGCCTCGTCGATCTTGCCCTTCTCCGACCGAACAGCGGCCTCATTGAGCTTGATGCCAATCATGGCCTCCTCAGCCTCCACGTACGTGTCAAAGACGATGGAGAAGTCGCGCACAGTCATGACTGTGGTGACAGCCTCCTCGAAGACGTCGCGGGCTTTCTCGTACTCGCCCCTGTGCATCCAGTACCGCGCCAGACCGACCCAGAGTATGCCTCGCTGATCGGGGAACTTGGAGATGCCGCTCTGGATGATCTTCTCTACGTCGATGCCGCTGTCGTCGCTGGTGTCGATTTCCTTGGCGTGGTCAATCATCAGATCGATCATCTCGGTCCAGAACTGGAAGGGTCCCTTTGCCTCCTTGCTCTTGAAGCGCGGGTTGTTGAGGATTTCCATGTACTTCTTGACGGCCTCGGTGTACTTGCGCATATCCTTCAACAGCTCGATGAAGTCCTCGGCGTCTTCGGGGTGGATCTGCATGTAGCGACGCCAGATCTTGACGGCCGTCTCGCCTGATGCAGACGTCGCGAACGGTCGGTAGAGGGCCCATATGCGGTTGTGCTGAGTCAGAGGCAGGGCGCGTAGGGCTCGGTCAAACGTGCGGCGGGTAGTGGTAACGAGGGGCTGCTGCATGAGGAAGTTGAGGTACATCTCCCAGATGCGCGGCATCTTGTTGAGCAGGACGAGGGCGCGTTCGAAGAGGGCGTTGACCTTGACATAGTGGGGCGCGAACTTGGCCGGGTTCTTCTTGGAGAGGTGCTTGGTGCGCAGCTCGAGGTACAGCTTCCACAGCTTGTACGAGCGCGGAAGCGTCGTGACGGCGCGCTCAAGCACAAAGGCCTGCTCCAGGATGCTCCCACGTGACTTCTTGAAGCTGTAGTAGTCGAGCCAGGGCTTCACGCTGCCGGCATTGCGCTGGATGTCCTGCTCGTACGCGACGTCCTGGTCGGTGATGAGGAAAAGGTCCGCCGAGGGCTCCATCTTCCGCTTGGTGGGCCGCGAGAGGCTCGCGGTGACGGTCCTGAGGAGTTCGCCGGGCATGATTGCGCCAGAGCCAGGGCGTGTGTTGCCCGCGGTGGGCAGGAGGGCGATGGGGTGCGGTGTTGGACGGCTGACGAGGCGTGTCGAAGTGTTAAAGTTCTGAGGAAAGAGCGATGGTCAGCCGTCTCCTGCAGCCAATAAGCAACGTGCATTCCGAGGACCCGCTTCTCAGTGTTGGTAGGCGCGCGCGCACGGGTCTCACATCCATGGATAGCTAGCTCCCCGGCATAGCTGCGTCACGTTCCGCTGGATTCACCTGGCCGCACTGCGCACGCTGACTGGCTCCGAGACACCTACCAGAATATCTCCGGCCATTGTCAGCCTCTACCCTCGGTTTTAGCCCCATAGCCTTCTCCACCAACTGTTCGAGCCGCAAACATGTCTGGCAGCGGGGTACGCCAGCCCGAGCTATGCAATGCCCAGGACATCTGATGCTAACACGACCCTCAGGCACGAGAGGCCGTCTTCGCGACGCGGCAGTCGCTGGGTCTGATGAAGGGCAAGCTCAAGGGCGCCCAGACCGGCCACGACCTGCTGAAGCGAAAGAGTGAGGCCTTGACCAAGTATGCACTCGCTGTCTCCAGTCCACTCGTGAAGCTTTGCTGACCATGTGCAGGCGCTTTCGAGGTACGACTACGCTATATGCACCCCCACCATCTGCCTTTGTAACTGAAACCGTTTCCAGAAATAACGCGCCGTATCGATGAGGCCAAGCGCAAGATGGGCAGGGTCATGCAGGTCGCGGCTTTCTCCCTCGCCGAAGTTACCTACGCCGTCGGCGGCGACATTGGCTACCAGATTCAAGAATCCGCAAAGCAGGCCCGCTTCCGCGTACGAACGAAACAAGAGAACGTCTCCGGTGTCTTCCTCCCGCAGTTCGAAAGCTTCACTGTCGAGCAGAACAACGACTTCGCCCTGACGGGTTTGGGCAAGGGTGGTCAGCAAGTACAAAGATGCAGAGAGACGTACGCAAGAGCGGTCGAGACTTTGGTGGAACTGGCTAGTCTACAGACTGCCTTTGTCATTTTGGACGAAGTTATCAAGGTGGTCAACCGCCGTGTAAACGCCATGTGGGTATCCTTTCCTTCCAGACAACTGCCAAAGCTAATAGCCAACAGTGAGCACGTCATCATCCCCCGTACCGAAAACACCATTAAATACATCAACTCTGAGCTTGACGAGCTCGACCGAGAGGAGTTCTACCGCCTGAAGAAAGTGTCCAACAAGAAGCAGAAGGATGCTGCCGAGGAGGAAGCCGCAAGGGTGGCGGCGAAGCAGAAGAACGAAGAGACGGAGAGTGAGGCGCGAGAAGATGCTGCCGAGAGCAAGGACATGCTGGGCGACGAGGACAACGAAGATGTCATCTTCTGAGCGCTCTACAGGCGACTAGTAGGGCCCGTCCGTGTAGTGTCGCCTGCGGCCCATTGGGCGCTGGATCCACCTCTCTAGCTCTCGCTCGCCAACGTCTCGCATGTAGACATGCACCTTCCAGAATGCTGATACCGAGTCCGTGGTCCAGGTTCCGTTTGGCATCCCGCGCGGGGCGTTTTCGACCAAGCTAAATAAGTGATAAGCATTGTGCCATTTAATGTGAACGTTGTCTTTTGATAATAAGACTCTATTGTGCCGGCCTGTATCTGTGCCGAACAAGGTATCATAAAATGCATAAATCCATAGCAATAATCCATACGCAGTAACCTACTGTTGCCGCTGGTAGGTGACTTTCATAGGCTTGCCCTCTGCGCCGATCGGGGTGTTGGCCGTCGATTCTTTCGCTGTGATCGCAAACTGCTCGTTCTCGAACTCAGCAAAGGCAACAGCCCTGACCGAGACCAAGCGCACTTCCTTGAAGCCTTCGAAACGCTCGAAAATCGTCGTGAGGTCGTCCTCGTCGACATCGCGGGGGATGTTCTGCAGGAAGAGCGTCTTGTTGGGTCGTACGTATTCGTCGGGAACAGCGGCTGCTCCGGTTTTGGCTGCGCGAGGCTTCTCGGCGGCGACTGGGTTGGCTTGCGCTTTCGCGTCTTCTTCGGCGCGCTTGAAGTCTATGGCAGTCAGTATGGAGCACCCTCAGAAGTGGTAGGAGATGCGCACCCCTAAGCGTCAGGCGCTTCCGCTTGTGATCGTCGAACAGTTCCGGCGCCTTTCGCTTGACTGTCTCGTCGCTGTGTGTCTTCGCCCTGTGCACCTTCATGACCTTGCCGTACATCTCGAAGCCGTTCATTTCCTCCACAGCCTCCAGTGCAGCCTTCTCGCTGTCAAAGACAATAAATGCCTGTCCCTTCCGCTTCAGACTGCTCTTTGCGATAACATCCAGGATCGGACCGTAGTATTGGAAGACCCGTGTCAAGGCTTGCTTCATGGTATCGATCTTGACGCGCTCCTCGAGGTTGTTGACCTAGTGCTGTCAGCAATCGCGCCACCAAGTGCAATGTGAGTGCGTTGCTGGCGCGCTCGTGGTCCAACTCACGTATATACTATATTTCTCCATTAGCATCAAGGGGACCTACCTTTTGGGCATGATCTTTCACTTACGTTTCGATGGGCACCGGGTATTTGCTGGGGTCTACGAGACCGCCGCCCATTACTACGCCCTCCATCTTATCCGCCATCTTGAAGCAACTGTTGTGTGGGTAGTGGAGTTGTATGGCGTGGTCTCACTCACCCGACGAAGCTGTCGGGAGCTCGAATTCGAGATCCGCGCCAAGCACGCTAGGCTGCGTCCGCACGTGACGACGAACACCAGGCCCTGGGGAGTTTTGCACCTGCAGACAGCTATTCAAGGGTCGACATACAATATACCTCCAACTTCTTGAAATTCGCGAAAGCTATCACTTCTTGTCACTAAGCAGTCTGACACTATTATCGCTTCTCGTAAGTTGTAAGAGCGTTATGGATGACCGAAGGTGTATGATTTGAGCCACCCCTCATTGTGCATTGAGCGCGTTGTTCTCTTGCTGCTGACAGCTATCGACTCTCCCTACCGATCACTGAGGCACTTAAAAAAGGCGCTTACATTCTTCATCATGAGTACTGACGTCAGCATGCGTCTGAGCTGATGAGGCTCGTGCGGAAACTTCTGCCAGATGCCTTTCCAAAACTGACAAACATCAATTTTGCATCTCATCACGTCGTCGATTTCCAAACTATCTTTGCAATGCCACCACCAGGAATACGATGGCGATCGCACCCATTGTTCATAGTCTTCACTGTGGGAATGGGTGCGTTCGTGGACCTTTTCTTGTACGGGCTCATTGTGCCAGTACTGCCGTTCCTGTTGAAAGACCGCATCGATCTACCTGACTCTCAGATCCAAAGCACGATATCAAACCTTCTAGCAGTCTATGCAGCAGCTTCCTGCATATCTTCACCCATCGCAGGCTTCCTAGCTGACAGGTTGTTTTCGTCTCGAAAGCTACCTTTCCTCCTCGGGTTAATCCTATGTCTACTTTCGACCATTCTTCTCGCTCTCGGGCGTAGCGTCGCCGTTCTGGCCATTGCACGATTCCTCCAGGGAGCATCGGGAGGTGTGGTGTGGACTATCGGCCTCGCTATCTTGGTTGAGACCGTAGGCCGCGAAAACTTGGGCAAGACTATGGGAACTATATTCAGCTTCATATCAGTTTCCACCCTAGTCGCACCTATTGTCGGCGGTTCATTGTACGCGAAGACTGGATACATAGGTGTCTTTGGCGTGGCCATAGGGTTGATTGGCATAGACTTCATTTTGAGATTGCTCATGGTGGAAAAGAAGGTGGCTGAGAAATACTCTACTCCCGAGACACATGCCTCTGAACCAGATAGGAGCAACGAACAACAAGACACGGAACAAACCCCGCTTCTACCAAATGGTCCTTCTACGCTCGATCGCTACCGTCTCTCCAAACCATCGAATCGCTTCACTCGCAATCTTCCCATCCTCATGCTGTTTCGCCATCCAGGTCTGCTAACCTCCGTATGGATTGGATTTGTGCAAGCTCTTCTTCTTGGTTCTTTCGACGCTACCGTGCCGTTGGTAGCGTCGGGGCAACTAGGTTTTGACAGTCTCAAAGCTGGATTGCTCTTCCTACCACTGGGCGGTGCGGATTTCCTGCTGGGTCCAGTCTTTGGCTGGTGTGTCGACAACTATGGCACGAAGCCGGTATCAGTCTTTGGATTCATTTGGCTGATACCAACGCTTGTATTACTCCGACTTCCGACTGAGTCGAGTATCATCGAGAGATTAGACAACGGTCACATCATCGCACTCTATTCTGCATTGCTAGCGATGAACGGACTCGGTCTGGCGGTTATCAACAGTCCTAGCATTGTCGAATCTGGAACTATCGTGGAGAATTACTACAAGGCGAATGAAGACATGTTCGAGCAGGCTCCTTTCGCCCAACTCTACGGCATCAACAGTATGGTGTGGAGCGGTGGGCTGACTGTAGGCCCACTGCTGGCTGGGTATCTACGAGACAAGATTGGATACGGCAACATGAACGCCGTTCTTGCTGGCATTTGCGCCTTCACAGCAGTTTTGGCGGCATTGTTCATTGGTGGCAGAGAGAAGGATCAGGACGCGTCTAACGAGAATGCAGACTAAGTGTCACTATCATCATGTATCGTAGTGCAAGCTTGGCTATTTTGCATTTTTGTGTAGTCTCTTACTCATCAAAGTCAGACCAACTGGTGACAAGAATCCACATCCTGCTTATCCGCCCTCCGTGAAAAGTTACCCATATTCGAAACGATAGCGACTTATAGAGAAGGTATTAAGACCTAGTCGTCATAGCAGGTACACCTATTAGATGCACCACTAAAGTTCTTGCCGCATTTCCCACAGGTGTTGGTGTCGACAGGAGTAGACTCGGAGCTGATGATAGACACTGTAACGTGTTAGCGAAAAACGGACTGGAAACAAGCCCAACGTTTGAGATATATACTTTTGTGTTGTCTTGTTTTATGGATTGAAGAGGCTGAAGAAGCTTTGATATGCGATTTGATTAAGCTGAACGTGCAGGTTTTACTTGTGGTATCGATGCTGCTTAGTTCGGTGTTGTTTTCTAGGGATAGAGGAGAAGACCTATATTTTTTATATGCCATAAAATTCCCAAAATATCACTATATGCTTTCATGAAAATGATTATGCAGAGTTTCACATTACCTTTGGGGGACAGGCCGGAGTTCCGTTATCCTTACTCACACCGAGCTGTGGAATACCGTAGACATAGGACTTGTTATGCATGAATACCACCCGTTTACCATTGAGGTCTGTCCACTACCTAGACAGTGACATTTGAATGAACTGACTCGATGCTATACATTGCCATCGGCTTTGACAGATCTCATAGGAAGCGCTTTCTTTGAGGAAGCAGGTGAGATTGTGAAGGGTCAAAGGTGGAATGCAACGAGTCTGACTTCTAAGACCTAAAGCTGACTATGGCATAACATACACTATGTAGACGCTGATGTCAAGTTTGGGCGAGTTGTCTCCTCAGCGAATATCCCTGAAGTTGAAGCAGAAACCATTACATTGAAACCATGACCTCGCTAGAGTCCTTCGCAGTCATCTCCATATGGTAATTCCATTCGCGCCAATTATCATTCATAACACAGTGCTCGTTACTCTCTGCTACAGCATTCCAAAATCTTTGAGCACCTCATTCTCTAGCTCATCGTTATACGCCTTCGAACAAGGACGCAGCTCATGCTTTGTACCATCTTCTGCGGTCTCCAAAATCCATCCTTCTAACACGTCATCACTCATTTCCAGACCCTGTCTAGAAATCCAACGCCTTCGAATCTCCGCACCAACATTTCTTTTCATCTGCAGTGACCGCGACTCATCAATGAGACGAACAGCTTCAACCAGCTTCTGGGAAGACTCTCCACTAGATAGCATAGCGCGTGTCTTTTCTTTGAACATAAGATAATAGTCCAAGTACTGATTGCAGCTACCCAACGAGATGTCTTTGACTGCTGTTTCGAAGGCGGAAGGAAAGAAGCCTGCCATCTCCCAATCAATGATGGCAGCAAGTTCGTACTGTGGGCCGTCTTCGCTCTCTGCTTTCTTTACAAGCAGGTTTCGTGGTTCGAGGTCGTTGTGCGAAAGCACCAAGCTTTCTTCGAGAGCCTGGAGATCATCAGAGGAGAATCGTATCTCACCCAATTCTGGTATGGCAGATTTGATGACGATGCCGTCGCCATCTAGTGCGTTTTCTATGGAAGAGGTAGCGAAGCTCTTGGCTTGGTGCTGAGCGACAAACAGTGCGATGAACTCGCGAACACTTTTCGCGAAACCAAGGAATGGACTTCCAATACTGATATTCTTCTTGTCGTCAACTAGAGCTGTGTTTGGGAAAACTCGCTGAAGGAGTGCATGTGAAATGTCGACCTGTTGAAGTTTATCGACTGCGTTTGCAACAGCATCAATCAGAGACGTCTTCTCCGTGAGGCTGAGGGAAGGCCAAACAGACTCTAAAGTCACAGTGTTTGGTATAAATCTGGTGACCATGTAATCTGCTTCGCCGTGGTTTGCCGTCACCACTTTTCCAGACCAGAGTATCTCGGGGACATAAGTCGGGATTTGGAGGGAGGCTGCCTCTTGAATCGCAGAAACGACGGCTAGCGACCCGCTTGAAGTTTCCAATCGAACGATTACAGCCGGATGGTTTGGAAATTCCGCTTTGAACGTGCAGTTGGTGAAGGAGTGAGCAAGTATCTCGATGGAGTTAGGTTGCGACTCAGTAAAAATTGTCGAAATGATGGCCGCATCAGGGCGAAGCATTCGATCAGCCATATTGAAGAAGGTGCGGCTGCAAGTTGAGCTTCAGGGTAAGAGACCGGAAGGTATGATTGTAGGACAAAGCCAACCTTATACAATCGCCAAGACCCAGCGGCCCACATTACCTATGATTGGGTCGAAACTCATTCTTTCACCGATGATATCGCATACGTGTCGCGTATAGCTGGGTTTGTTTGGCTTCCGCTTCCGAAGTGCGGGCCCATCCTCTTTGTTCTACACGTTGGACACACCGAAGTCCATATCTTCAAGGAAGGCTGATGGGTCAGCAAAACTGCCCCAGTCATCGAAAGCTGCGAATGGGTTTGATGTCGCCTCTTCTAGAGCTTCAAGAGGGGCGAGAGGAGCAGAGTACGGTACATGATTTTCGTTTGCGTCAGTGGCCCTAACCTCAAACGGAGGCTGATTTGCTGTCGGTGCGTTTGATGCCAAACACAAGAGCTTCGTATCATAAAAAGATTTGGCCCACTTGGTTTTCGAAGACCACTTCGCAAAAGCGTCGTTGTTTAGGTTCAGACCATCAGGATGAGCCTGCGATACAGCATCGTACCGTCGAGAAGCCTCGCCGAGAAGTGTCGAAAAGTCGACGAACTTTCTAAGAGCTTGGACATCCCAGCCGTCCATCTCAATCAGGCTTGCTCGCACAAGCACAACAAAGATGTACGCAAACTGCGCGAAAACGCCGAATGGAACGACAAGATAGTCTTCGACGGGTAGTTCTAGGTATATCTCCGTGTACCTTTTGGCCGCGTCCATGCATTGCCACATTCCATCTAGTCGCTGCCGTAGGTCCGTCTCTTTGACTGTATGGGTGGCGAGATTCCCGAATGAGCGTTCCCAGATCGCAGTTCGGGTACAGGCTTGCTGCAAATGCGACACTATCGCCGTCGCTGCGTTTCCAGACGCTAGCGCAGCTTTGTCGAGGTCGCTCAAGAAAGATTTGGCATATAGTTGCACCGGAGCATGCTCGCAGTCGGTAGCCATGGCTTCTTGCATGATGCGCTGACTCTGCGCTAGCTGTACGAGCAAAAGATCGCTTTCGTATTCTCGAGCTTGCGTTAGTACATCGACGCAAGCTGTATGCCATGGAGTCCAGTTAAGGTTGTCGATCTTCCGGAAGGATGTAAATATCTGTGAGGTTAGATAGAACGTTCCGAGAACTGCACGTCGCTCATCGTTCGTTACGACCTTTGCCGGCTGTGGCACACCGTGCGCTTGTGACGCTGCCATCAAAGCCGCCTTCTCACAAAAGCCTGGTGCACGATCGATATCCAGGTCGTGAGTGAGCGCCATGGTAAGGTGTAGAAGTACTGTGTGGCTTGGTGGTGCGAAGAGATGCGGATTATACCAATTTCCAATCACTAGCATACCCTGTAACAGGTCGAGCGATTTCTCACCATTGATCAATACCCTATCCGAGATCTCTCGTATAAGATCCTTTACCAGAATCTGTTGGACTGCGGTATCGTGGAAGAAAGCGACTGTCTTGATAGCCTGTAACAAGAACGGCTTGTTGTTGGCCAAGCTGGTAACATCAGTACCAGTTGGGAACACCACAAAAGGCATATGAGGTGCCATCAGTCTCTGGTAGCGATCGAACAAAATGTCGGTATTTGTTTCGTTCGTTTCCATTGATGCGAGGTGGGAATCGTCCATCTCCAGCGTTGCGTCGCGGGCAGAGGCAGTAGTATCGACAGATCCGGTAGCGCTTGGAGTTACGATCAGTGATGCCTGATACACAACGTTACTCTTCTCATGTAATCTTGTCGCCTGCTGTAATGCAGAAGTATGCATTTCCGATTCTGAAGATGCCTCTGGCGCATGTCTGTTGGTCAGAGCTTCAGTGATGTCTGCAAGCTGTGCCTCGAGATGCTGCAACTGAGCGGATCGTCTACTTACAATTTAGCATCGTGAACCCAGAGATTTTATGCCGCTCGAAATTGACTCACGTTCTTATTTTTGCCTTGGTTCTGCGTTTCGTTGGCTCCCGAGTCTGGCAGACCTTATGTAGTCGTGTACATCTAGAAATATGTTAAGTTTTTTGAAATCATTCAAGATACTCCCCCGGACTGAGTACTCATGCTAATTGATCAGTCATGCTGTACTTACTGACCTTTCGCAGTTGCTGCCCTCTGTACGCCTCACACATTTGCTCTTCGCCTTCGCACAGACTGCACACGACCCATGATGTGCATGAGTCGTGTTTTGCGACGTGGCTGTTACTTCTTCAGATTCTTCGTATGCTGAACTCATTGCGACTAGGACGTAGCAGTAAGGTATTGAGACCTCGTGAAGCAAGGTTGATGATGAGGACGACGAAGTAGATGGCAATAGGTAAATCGACGTAGCAATATCTCCGTCCGTCTAAACTCCGAAATCTGCAATATGACAACATCAATCTCGGCTCAACTTTCAACCGTTCAGCAGCTTCTCATGCGCTCCTCCATATCTTTTACCTGCAACGGGAAATGTCTCCTGAGCTTTGCGGAGGTCTTCCATATCCTCATCGGTCAATTCAAACAGCTTGCTGTTCAGGGTGACGCGTTCGATGTTGGTAGACCCTGGAATGGGAATCGCCCCTTGCCGCGCTACCCAAGCGATAGCGACTTGCGCCGACTTGAGGCCTTTGCTCTGGGCAATCTTTTCCACGGCCTCGGCAAGCTTGTAGTTCTGATCAAACACTTCAGGTCGAAAGCGGTCGAACATCTTCGGGCGAAAGTCGTTGGGCGAAAGGTCATCGAGCGTCTTGAAACTGCCCGTGAGCCAGCCCCGACCGACTGGACTGTACGCAATCACAGGGA